ATATTGAGCCAATAGGATGTCATTACCTCCATATTAGTGTTTGATTGACAGTGGGCCAAAGCCACCTATGGACTTTTAGAATTCAGCGACAAATTAGTAGGTCGTATATCAAAATTGTTAAAAATTGCATGGGTGTAAACAGAACTGTTGGAATGACGTAGGAACTTGTTGTTAAGCAACAAAATGATGAAGCATCCCGATAAAATGTTGAAACATTTACATTCGTTTTAAAGCGCCAAGAACAAAATTTCTTAAAATACATATCCAGCTAAAGAAGTCGTGTAAAAATAAACCGGAATTGTATTTTAGACTTTTCCAATTTTGAAGTCAATATTCATTGTTAAGGCGATACCGTGGGAATCTATTACCAGTTCCTGTGCCATAACCAAGGACAATTATTTCCTCATATATTTTTGTTGAAGCTTGCCTCGCAATTTTTTGATAGATCAATTCAACTTTTTCATCGATATTGATATGAAAAATGAATTTGAGGTCAGTACTATTCACACAAATTATTCCTCCGGAAATTAACGTAAAAATATGAACACAAATAAAGCCTTTTGCTAAGCCATAAATAATGTTTTAGACGACGATACAAGCAGTCATGCATGCAATTTCTTCTGTCAGTGGACGCCATATTTCATTGAAACCTTGCGCTCTGAGTTTCTGTTGTACTGGTAAGAAACTGGTGGTCGTTGAGTGTTATTTTCTCTTCCAACTAATACAGGGGGGATAAGGAAAAAGTACAATGGCTTTAAATGGACATTTTAAGGCAACGGCTAATGCATGGTACGTCAAACTTCGAACAGACATCCAATTCAACACAGGAAGGAGGGTGGATTGTTGGCGCCCCCAGGCTGGTCAATGATGCTGCAAATATTCACATACCTTTAAAAACCAATGTTTTTAAACTTGGCAAGATGAATCTGCTACCGCGGCGAAGTTAGTTTCTTTGTGTGCTCTAGAATGTAGAATTTCGTGTTTTTACACAGATAGGAATGGCTAAATTATTTTTTAATTGTTTCTTAATGATTTTAATTACGTAATTAAATCGATTGTGCCTTTTACGTAGACGAAATTTCTGAGAAAAATTAAACAATTCCTTCATCCCCTGCAATGTTGATATAAGCACATAAATTGTTCTCTTTTTATTCATTTCCTGTTAGAAGAATGATCCACTACTTGG